AGGATCCATTCTGGTATACTTTGAGAATGTAGTGAATCCTGCTTCTGATATTTTATATCTGTAAGCTTATTGGCTTTTGTTTAAATGAATAACGAACAGTATTTATACGTTACTTTATTAATCACTGTTTTATTCAGTCTTAATGGCTGCTAAGGCCGATACACGTGTTGAATAACCGTGTAGGAAGACTAGATATATGACGCGATTAAATCGAAAGCGAAAGAGTCTTTTACGGAGAGTCGTCGTCTCTTTGTAATAAAGATTTTTTCTTTTAACACGCTGAGCTGATTTTCACGATTTTAACTATCTTTACAATCTTCGCACTTATCTCTATCTTCGCCTATTTTATACCTACTGCTCCTTCTCTTCCTCGGGCTTCGATATATATCGCAACGCGTTGGAGCTCCGTAATTCGCTGACTCCGACTGTCAATATCTCGAATCCTAATTGATCGCCTTATACATCGTTAACAGGTGTACATAATATACTTATAATCTTACAATATATACATGTTATCATATGAGACCGCGCATAATAAAAACAGGTTCGGACTTGTCCGCGCCTGTCATCTGCGCGAGCGAATTTACCGGAACGAATTTTTAGTTCTTCTTGCCGATTGTAAGCGCCGGTTGACTCTTGAAACGCTGCAAATGGACATCAATAATTTAATTTTAGCAATTTTCGTAAGATCTCCAATATGGGATAAAAGAAATAAAAATCATTCTAACAGAAATGTAGTTGAAAATGTTGGAAAGAAATAAGTAAAGAAGTAAATGCGAAAGGTAAGTAAGGAAGTATTATTTTTATAAGATATTATACAATTTTATTTTTGTATCCAATGTTTACAAGTTATTAATTTTATGATTGTAAAATTGAGTCTATAAATAATAGGACGATTTAATAACTTATCAGAGATACAATTAATTTCCTTCTTTATTATACGACAAAGGATTATTTGAAAAAAAAAGTTGTAAATGTATCTAATGGTTTTCGCTTCATTACGTGGTCTGCCTCCTGTTTGTCTTTGATAATTTCTTTGAAATTCAGTAGACACATCAGTTAGATTCCGCTCAAATCCCTCTTTATCTATTATAGTATTATGCAAAATACAAATACATTTTATAATATTATCTGTCACATCAATGTCGGTTTCAATGCATTTTGAAAGTAAGCGCCATTTAGAATATAAAATTCCAAAAGAGCATTCAATAGTTTTCCTAGCTCTAGATAAACGTTTATTGAAACACTCCTGTTCAATGTTTAAATTCTTTCCACTAAATGGTTTTAGAGGAAAAGGAAGAAGCGGATATGCTTCATCTCCTATTAATACAAACGGTGTTTTTATATTTGTTTGAGGAAGGTTGCTAGGCTCTGGTATGTCGAGTTGCTTATTGTTCAGTAATTTATATAAATGGGAGGCTTGAAAAGTGCCACCATCACTTTGTTTACCATATCCCCCTACATCTACCGTTATAAATTTATAAGATGCATCTGCAACGCCTTGCAATACAATAGAAAAATATTTTTTATAATTAAAAAACATTGACCCTGAATTGTTAGGACATAAAACACGAACATGTTTGCCGTCAATGGCCCCAATACAATGAGGAAAATTCCAAATATTATAAAAATCTTCAGCTATTTTTTTAAAAGTATCCTTTGTCGGTACTGGCATGTGCTCTGATTGTAATCCATCCCACAATGCAATAACAGTTTCGGAAATAGAACATGTTTGCCGTCAATTGGCCCCAATACAATGAGGAAAATTCCAAATATTATAAAATCTTCAGCTATTTTTTTAAAAGTATCCTTTGTCGGTACTGGCATGTGCTCTGGTTGTAATTCATCCCACAATGCAATAACAGTTTCGGAAATAATTTTTCCTACTGTAGATGAGCCCATTCGAAAAGTAAATGATAAAGTCTTGAATGAGCAACCGGTTGCTAGATACCTGAAATATGTATAATCATTTAATAGAAAATGTTTGGTTTATAAAAATATTTTGCAAAATTTAGTTTTCAAATACATAATTTTATATGTAAATATTAAAAAGATTGTGATTTTTAACAAACCTTCTTTCAGAAAACATATTGAGAAAAAAATGGAAATATCTAAGAGATCAGTCTGCTGTTGAGCTTGGAAAAATCCCTCCTTCTCGTTCAGGAGATGCTGGAGATTCTGCATCCACTTCAAAGTGGCCACATTTTCAATCATTATTATTTCTTAAAGACATTGTAAGACCCAGATTCTCGACTGGGAATTTGGTCACAGAACCTGAAATTCATCCTACTTCATCAGGAGAGGCAGAAGCTCCAGCAGATGATGTAGAAGATTCGTCTCATGTCTCTGAATGTACTGATACTACTTCGTATCAGGAAGAAGGAAAAGAAATTGTTGAAGAAGATACTGCAAATTATGTACGTCATTCATCATCTCCTACAGTGCAATCTATTCAAGGAAGAAAAAGAAAGCGTGGAGCAAATGAGACTTTTAATAATGCCTTATTAAATCTTGAAAGATAGAAGGTTCAATATTTGCAGGAAAAATCATCACGACAGCGTGATATTGATGATGAAGATTTATTTTTTTTTCAAAAACTTGCTTCCACGTGTTCGAAAAATACCAGGTTCAAAAAAATTAGCTTTTCGTAATTGCATTCAAAAACTCGTTGAATAGTTCGCATATCAAGAGCAATCATCTACATTCTGCAACAATCGACAATCTTTCGATACTTCTTCTCCTGCAATATCTGAAAATACTTTTCAATCATTTCCTTCTTCCTCTCCTCTCTCTACGAGATTAGAAAATACCATCCAGTCTTTTCTTTCCAACTCTAGTGCATGTTTCCCTCAATCTATTAAAAATTCGAATTATATTACCTTCTCTACAGACAAAGCAGTATTGGATTACACATCTTTGTAATTTGTTTTAAAAATATCAAAAATTGTACTTCTACATGATACTAAATTATATTTGCAAACATTCTATTGCTTTTTCATATAAATCTTGACAATATAAAATAGGCTTGTACGCATTCGTAATATATCGTTCATATCTTACATTAGACCATTAATGTTCTCGAAATACTAGGGTACATTTTTAGACTAGATTTAATAATCTAAAGAGTTTTCTATTATTAATATTAAATTATTTTATGTGTGTTTATTTTATTATTTTGTTTATGTGATGGACATTACTTTGATTATTATTTATAATGTTTAATATATTACGATATGTTGTATTTTAATTTAGCATTTATTTAGCATTTTTATAATAAAATAAAAAGTATAATATAAGTGAATTTTTGATAAATATTACGTATTTACCTTAAAGTGACGACAAGCCTTTCTTCAGGTAAGATAGGCTGCTTATGCCAGTTATACCATGTTTTCATTAAACGATGTTCAACTTTTCCTAATATGTAATTAAAAGTTTCCAGAGTCATTCTTGTGTATTGGAAAAATTTTTGCTTGTCTCTCTTGAGATCATCAAATAAATTATGGTATTCACCATTATTTCTTCTACTTTTATTTATTTTGTGTATACTGAATCTTTTTCTTTCTATTTTTGGTATAATATTATCCAACAAAAAAAAAATCTTCATCGGATGAAAACATCTTTACTGCAAAACATCAACTCAGAAACTGGCAGGTTTCCTGTTTTAATATGCGTTTACTGTGTCCTTCTCAAGCGCCGATAGCCCGCGCTTATCGGCACTGATTATCTGAAAGCAGAAAACCTGCTTTCTTTATGTTCGTAACTTTTTTTTTTATAACATAGGCCTGGCCCCGAGGGCGCCCACGGAGCACGCGAGGAGGAGAACATGCTCCTTCTTCGCGCGGCTGCCTATTCCCCTCCTTCCTACACTCACAATCAGTCAACATGCTACAGTACGTACCTCAAGACGGTACGCCTCGCGCGAGTGAAAAAACGGAGAAACTCGAGCTACAGTTTGTGGTCCAGGCCTGGTCCAAACAGCATAACTAGTATTCAAAGTGCAGTCATTGTGTGAAATACATCGACGAGATAATTGCCAACTATAACTTGAACTTTAATTTTTTTGGAGAAAGGATTTTATAAAAATGGTATGCCTAGTTTTTATATTATTTTGAGAAAAAGTTTATAAAATAAAATCTTTTTTTATTATTTATACATTTTATATTAAGGAAAAATATACTTTTACTCTCATGTTATAATAATTATTATTTAGTTTTCGTGTTACCGTGATATATAACTAAATTAATATCATAATAATTATTATATAATTTCAAAAATAGGAATACTTATTCTATATATTTTTATGGAGCTATTACCAAACAGTTTATTCTTTCTTGACCTCCATGGTAACTCGTTCACTTCTTTTGCCTTTGATAAAAAACAAGTAAACTTGTTGGCACTAAACTTGGATAAGAACAATCTGAAATCTGTGAAGAAGTACAATGATTCGCGTGATTTATCTGATTCATACGATCAACATAATCAACAGTATAATTATAATCAATATCAATATACTCAAGATCCATATAATCAGTATAATTTACGTAATCCGCATAATTTTGGTCTCGTGATGGCCGGCCTGGAAAATCTACATTATCTTTCCATTTCCGGAAACGAAATTAATCGTATTGAATCAAATGCTTTCGAGGACACTAACAAGTTAGTTTATTTGAACTTATCCATAAATAAAATAACTCATTTGCATTCAGAGACATTTGAAAAATTGCAGTCTTTGAAATCGCTCGATTTAAGCCTTAACAAGCTCGAGAACGTTCCGCAAATCTCAAGTGAAGTACTTAGCATTTTGTCTCTTAATTGTAACAATATCACTAAGAATCTAACTATAAACAGTTTCGCAAAAATGCCGAAGTTGACGAAATTGTTATTGGCAGGAAATCAGATCGACGAAATTAATGCTCAAACATTCGCTCATCTTTCGCTTTTAGAAATGTTAGATCTATCGAGGAACAAATTGAGTTTTCTACCGGAAGAATTAAGTAAATCTTTAACATCATTAAAATATTTGAACGTGGAAAGTAATCAATTTACTTCGTTAGAGTCTTTATCCCTGACAAGTATGTTACCATTGATGGAGGTGTATCTGGCGATGAATCCACTGGAATATTTAGATGTTAGCTACTTCCAGAACTTGCCACAGAATCTTACCGTAAATTTAGTACAGGGATCGGATTTTTCATACTGGAATTCCGATAAATGCGGGCCGAGAAAATAATTTCTTATCATCATTATTATAATTATTAATAGTCATTTATATTGGTAATTTTTATTAGTTATTAAATACCAGTTAATCATGTTATATGATTTTTATAATTACGGATAGCATATGTAATACAGTAATAAATGGAATAACATATATGTAAGCAGATAAAAAATAAAATAAAATAATATAAAAAAAAAATTTATTAGGATTTTGTCCTCCGAATTTTAGAATATTTTCTGAGCATATATCTGTATAAATACTAACATTTTAATAAGCTACAAAAATTAGGTAAATTGAGAATAATCTAATATTTAATTGATAAAACATAAGATAGACAATTCTAATTTTTACAATGTTTCTTTTCAGTTTTTCAGTTTTCATCATTTTTTAATATTATTTTTAATATTATCTGATATTATTCTAATGAGATATTTAAAAGTTTGCATAAAAAATAACGAAATCATGAATATCGAAAAATATGTTTTCTTAATATGTAGATAACAATTTAGAAATCTTCATATTCTTCTATCATAAATTGTAAGATTTTCATATGCGTGCATTTTCTTTTTATGCATTTTACTATAAATATTGAAAAAGATAATCTTAAAATCTTTATAATAAAATAAGCTTTTATCAGAAAAGATTTTGACTTATTTTATTGAATATATTATATAGTAAGACAACTCTTCTTGAGAAATATACGCAGTACCCGGAACGGACATCCGAGTCACAAACGAGATAAAATTTGCTTTATCTATTCACGAATAAACGTGTGCATGTTGATTATAGCATGTGTGCATTTTTTCGATACACTATGCTAATTGTAAGCAATGTTATATCGGTTTAACTTCTTTGTCAGAACTGGCATGATAGCACAGTATTCCAAGAGCAGTCGTGATGAGAAGTACACTCCAGAAGTATACTCCACAAGAAAATTAGTAATTAATTTGAACAATTTTGTGAAGAGAACATTTTATTAACATGGTACATTTAATTTGCATGAGAAAATTTCAAATAAAGAAACATTTTTTTTATATTTTTATACTCTATAAAGAAATAATGATTTTAATGTTATGTATTACCAAAAATTCTACTATTCCATTTTTTTATATTATTTTAATTTAATATTAGCTATTTCATCTTTACAAAAAAAAGAAGAAATGTAATTTAAATTAATAATAAAAAAGGCTAATCAGGCTAATTTCATAGGAGTGTGGTATATAAAATTTGCTGCAAAAATTGCGACGAGTCTTAGGTTGGACAAACCCGCAGATTTTTGAAGACGAGGACACAAGAACATCGAAATCATATAAACAGGGATACGACTCAACATTCAGTCATATACGGACCACAGGCTGCTTAATCATGAATTTAATTGGAACAATGTGGAGATTTTGGATGAAGAACCGATCCTTGGAAAAAGATTAATATCTGAAATGACCTATATAAAGAGGCAAAAAACAGTTTGAACTTGCAAAGTGACACCAAACAGCTCGACCAAATATATTTCCCAATCTTGGAGAGTATGCCGAAAGTCTGATTTGAAACACCCTTTTCTCCCTGCATAGATACGTTACTGTCTGGTTTATTTATGGATCTTTGGCCAATTATTAATTATTCGATAATTTAGAGATGGCATACATGACATCTGCATCTTTTTACCTCCTCTCTCAACGGCTGTTACCGATAGGTGGTGACTCTGTTGCGATCCTGTGGAGGACGCGCGTACTAGTTCGTAGTATATAATTCTGCGTCATTAATTTATGTATTTATTTATAACTCCACTTTTCATGTAATTTACTTTTTTGTAATTCTATTCATATTTGTATTCTTTTTGTTACACAATTACTGAAGATGGTCCGATGTGGACCAAAACGTCTAATAAAAAAACAGCGCCTAGTTTTTTAAATTATGTCTACATCGCACATACATTAGCGCTGATATTTAATTCTATTGTCCTTGTTTGCGCTTACATCACGCATCCGGCTCTGATTAGCCTTTTTTATTATTGTTTTGTGACCTATTTAGAGCCTTATTATTGTATTTGTAATTTAAATTATTTAAAAAAAAAATATATGCAGTGGAAACTGCATTTGATAGAATGTATTCTTTTATGATTTTTTTTCTCTCTCTTTCTTTCTCTGTAGGATTATATACAAGGTGGACCAGTAACTCTTGCCACTTTGAATATCTTCGAGTCTTAAAACAGTTACGAAAAATTTTTTCCTACATAAGTTTTATAGTTTTAAAGGGGCCATCGAGTGGTGGTAACACAGTTCGTCGGGGTGGGGGCGCTTCGGAGATCTCAAGGTCAACTCCATTTTTTCAAACGGTACGACTAATTTTTTTGCGTAATTCGATAGAGGAGCTCAAAAAACGTTAGGAAGGTAAATTACCAGATTGTCGATTAATATTAAACATAAAAAGTTTATAAAAAAATAGTTAAATTAATACTAATAAAATATTAATATTAATATTAATAAAAACTCACGCTTATGAAATGTGCTCAAATATATAAAACTTTTGCAGGAAAAAATTTTTCGTAACTGTTCTAGACTCGAAGATATTCGAGGTGGCAAGAGTTATTGGTCCACCCTGTATATATATTATAAAATGATTTACATAAAGTGTTATTATTTACGACGCGGAGTGTGAGTGCCTGTTGTGTCTTGCGTGATTCGATTTATCTCGATTCCGATCCGCGGACGCAACAATATGTATATATAATTTTATATATACCTTTCTATATATAATTTTTTATATAATTATAATGATTATATAAACTCGATATCAGGTTGATTCATGGCCGTATATGTACAAACATCATTGCATCGTTCGCGAGGACGTGTCGCAGAGAGAAAGGACTCCATTCTCTTTATTACTTGTTTGAGTAGGGGAAACATAATAAAAGCGTTAATGAAGTAAAAATATCCGCATATCAGTAGTAACATTAATATATAACTGTAATATTATTTCGTTGTTATCATTGTTCAGTACAATGATATTTGTAAGTGTTGTATTAATTATTCTGGTATGTATTGCCATAAGTTACTTCGTCCTGAGTTACCATCGCCGAAGGTCTTTTAAAATCGTAAATACCTTGCCTGGTCTAAGAACACTACCGTTTATTGGGAATGCCCACTATCTTTTCCAGCAAAATCCTGACGGTAATAATGAAGAAATAATACATTACTAAAAAAAAAATAGGGAACACTTTTCATATCTTAAAAATTGGGCTATTTTCAAACCGCTGAAACTCGACGAAAAATCATCGTAAACAAAAAACTAAAAAAGCATTTTGAAGCTTGAAGTTTCAACTTTCACGCGCTATTGGTGGTTTTAAAAAATTTTTTTATCTTCCTTATTCGATGCTTTAAAAAAGAACACATTGTTTTGTTCCTTAAAATTATGTATTTTTGACAATCTGCAGCGCAATAACAAAATTTCTCTCGAAAAATTTAATTCAAGTTCCATAAACTACAACATTTTGCCTACAAAATGCTTTTTTAAAAATTTTCCTACTATTTTTTTTGACCGCTATATACTATTGACTGCTATATACTATGGTATATAGCAAAAAACGAGAACTACATTAAAACAGTCCAGGAATATACATGTTAAAAAATATTATATAATATAGTATAAACGGGAAGGAGAAAAGTACTTTAAAGATAAGCCGCAATTTATTTATAATGCGGTTGGTATTAAATGTTAGAGCTAACAAAACAGTGTTACAAATAATTGGAAAGAAGAATACATACATGTACTCGTATCTATAATTGTTTTATACAATATTTGAACGGTATTTAATAAATGCTTGTTAAAATGAGCGAGTAAAGTGTCCATGTTTCTGTAACGATAATTCCTTTCTAATTAATAAAATGGTTAAACTAAAAAAATTAGTATTTAATGTTTAGTTCAATAAAAAAATTATTTTTTAAATTAAATATGCTATTAAGCGACATCTTAGAACATCAAAGAACAACAGTAAAGAATAAAAGTTATTTCCGCCGTAAGACTATTAAGTTTGGCGAAAGAATAACTGGAATCACAGCTTGAAAACTTTTATTGAAAATTAATTAAATGATTATTAATGGTTTAAATTTTTAATTTACCTGAGCGTTAGAAATTAAAATCAATGATATTTGTAAGTGTTGTATTAATTATTCTGGTATGTATTGCCATAAGTTACTTCGTCCTGAGTTACCATCGCCGAAGGTCTTTTAAAATCGTAAATACCTTGCCTGGTCTAAGAACACTACCGTTTATTGGGAATGCCCACTATCTTTTCCAGCAAAATCCTGACGGTAATAATGAAGAAATAATACATTACTAAAAAAAAAATAGGGAACACTTTTCATATCTTAAAAATTGGGCTATTTTCAAACCGCTGAAACTCGACGAAAAATCATCGTAAACAAAAAACTAAAAAAGCATTTTGAAGCTTGAAGTTTCAACTTTCACGCGCTATTGGTGGTTTTAAAAAATTTTTTTATCTTCCTTATTCGATGCTTTAAAAAAGAACACATTGTTTTGTTCCTTAAAATTATGTATTTTTGACAATCTGCAGCGCAATAACAAAATTTCTCTCGAAAAATTTAATTCAAGTTCCATAAACTACAACATTTTGCCTACAAAATGCTTTTTTAAAAATTTTCCTACTATTTTTTTTGACCGCTATATACTATTGACTGCTATATACTATGGTATATAGCAAAAAACGAGAACTACATTAAAACAGTCCAGGAATATACATGTTAAAAAATATTATATAATATAGTATAAACGGGAAGGAGAAAAGTACTTTAAAGATAAGCCGCAATTTATTTATAATGCGGTTGGTATTAAATGTTAGAGCTAACAAAACAGTGTTACAAATAATTGGAAAGAAGAATACATACATGTACTCGTATCTATAATTGTTTTATACAATATTTGAACGGTATTTAATAAATGCTTGTTAAAATGAGCGAGTAAAGTGTCCATGTTTCTGTAACGATAATTCCTTTCTAATTAATAAAATGGTTAAACTAAAAAAATTAGTATTTAATGTTTAGTTCAATAAAAAAATTATTTTTTAAATTAAATATGCTATTAAGCGACATCTTAGAACATCAAAGAACAACAGTAAAGAATAAAAGTTATTTCCGCCGCAAGACTATTAAGTTTGGCGAAAGAATAACTGGAATCACAGCTTG